AAAAAAAAAAAAAAAAAAAAAGATTGGGTAAAAAAAAGTGATTTGTGACTTTGTTGGCAGGGCATTTGCTAAATGGAGTATAAGATCTAACAGGGTTTTCTTAGAAAGGGCAATATTGTCCAATGAAGGAAGCAGGAGGGCTCTGGGTTAGAAGTATCTGCATAAAAGCTGGTGAGACTTACTCTCCACTGCTCTGCAGCTGGTCTGCTGATGGCAGGCTGAGCAGTGGGGAAGCAGGTTTTAACAATAGGCAATCCTTCCAGGTCACTGTATGTTGAGAAGAAACATAAAACTGTTGTCTGTTACGTTCCGAGGTCGGCCTTCTGCTTAATGTTTCGTAGTATACAAATGCCAGCTTCTGGAAAGCAGGAATCACCATGTACCAGATGCTTTATACACCATCACATTCGTGAATTTATTAGCATGGTCAGGACTTGTGTAAATATATCTCTTAGAGGATTTTGGGGAGACGTGATTTATTTTTCATATTTTCAAAATGCATTCCATTTCAAATAAAGTTATCTATTGAGACAACTGACCTGTGGAGCTTTTGAAGGCCTCATTCAACTGGCACCTGCATTGTGTGTTCCTGTGAAACAGAGATTCTGAGTCGCTTGGCGATTCTGAAAAGAAAAAGACCGTTTTTGAAGTTGGGAATTCATTTTTTTTTTAATTCACTGGGAATTTGGAATATGAAAATTCACTCAGGTCTGTGGGTGAAAAACTTAGCTTTCAGAATGCTAATGTTTAGTTGAATTTTCCATAGTTCCTCAAAGGACCAGAAAAAGTCCCCAGTGAATTAGCTCAACAGCAATTCCCTTTTGGGTCCTAGAGTTAGTGGAATTCTCTTAGGTCTCTTGGGAGGGTAAAGCTTTGACTCTGAGTCATCCTTCAAACAGGTATTCATAAACCTTCCTATTTTGTGTTGAAAGCAGAAGAGGGACTTGATTCCTTAAAGAAAAATAGCATTAACTTTATTCTTACAATCCTCACTGGCATCTAAAAGCCTTTACATCTCAAAAGACTTTAAAATAGGAGACTTGATGGCATTCTATTTTTATCCCTTAGCACAGTCTTACGTTGACAGCTTTATTACTCAAGTTTTTTTTTTTTAAAGAAAAAATGTGAGAAGACAACTTACTGTCATGCTGAGGGGACTTCAGGGACACTGTGCAAAATAAATGTATATAATAGGCGGTAACGCAGGATTGGTAAGAGCCAGGATTTCAGAATCATAGTACACAGGTTCAAGTGTCAGTTCCACAATTATTAGCTGTGTAGATCTTGAATTACTTAAACTCTTGGGAACTCAGTTTCCTTTTCTGTAAAATGGAGTTAATGAAGGTACTTATTTTGAGGTTATTGAGGAGACTTAATATGTTAGGATACATAGAAGTACTTACAGCAGTGCCTGGCATCACTATGAAAGAAAGAGCCTTGCATTAGGACAGATAAATAGGTGGGGAATTGTTACAGCCATACTATATAATATATGGTATTCTGAAGCTAGGCATTGTATTTTCTGAGATCGCAGCATGTCTTTATTTATTTATTTATTGAGTCAGATTCTCGCTCTGTTGCCCAGGCTAGAGTACAGTAGTGCCACCTTGGCTCACTACAACCTCTACCTCCAGGGTTCAAGTGATTCTCCCACCTCAGCCTCCTGAGTAGCTGGGATTACAGGCATGTGCCACCACACTGGCTAATTTTTGTATCTGTAGTAGAGACGGGGTTTCACCATGTTGCACAGTCTTGTCTTGAACTCCTGACCACAAGTGATCCCAAAGTGCTGGGATTGCAGGTTGAGCCACCATACCTGGCCTCAGCACTTCTTTTTAAATGCTAAGAATAGAATGTTTGACCACATCCTCAAATTCAACTTTGAAAAAAGAAGAAAATACATTATACGAATACCATTTAAAATTTTATTGTTATTATTATTTCTTTTGAGGCAGAGTTTCACTCTGGCACCCAGGCTGGAGTGCAGTGTGGCACAATACTGCAACCTCCTTCCCCCGAGTAGCTGGGATTCCAGCCATGCACCACCATGCCTGGCTAGTTTTTGTATTTTTAACAGAGATGGGGTTTCACCATGTTGGTCAGGTTGATCTCGAACTCCTGACCTCAGGTGATCCACCCGCCTTGGCCTCCCAAAATGTTGGGATTACAGGCGTGTGCCACCGCACCCAGCCTATTATTATTATTTTTTAGAGACATGATCTTGCTCTGTTGCCCAGACTGGAGTTCACTGGTGTGATCATAGCTCACTGCAGCCCAGAACTCCTGGGCTCAAGCATCCTCCCACCTCAGCCTCCCAAAGTCCCAGGATTACAGGCATCAGCCACCATGCGTGCAAGCACTACCATATTAATGACAATTTTTATTTGCTTATTACTTTCCAGTCTTGGTCCACCTACTCATGTATGTTAAGTCATGAATAAATT